AGGTGAGTACCATCACTTTGAAAGTGATCCAGTGCTCAATTGGTAACCAATGCAGCTGTAGTAAGATTGGTGTTATGTGGCATCTCATCGGAATTCCCGCAAGAAGCCGAGCAGCTGCATTTTGTACCAACTTGAGCTTCCGGATCACCGACAGAGGAAGGCCAATGTAGAGGGCGTTACAGTAGTCCAGTCTTGAGATGACCGTGGCCTGGATCACCGTAGCTAGGTCGTCCCTGGACAGGTAGGGGGCCAGCCGTCTAGCCTGCCGCAGATGAAAAAAGGCGGTTCTGCTAACGGCGGAGACCTGGGCCTCCATCATCAGCAGAGGGTCCAAAAGGACTCCCAGACTCTTTACCAATGATGACGGGCGTAGCGCCTCACCATCCAGGGTAGGCAGCTGGATGTCCCCACTGCCCGGTCGACCCAGCCATAGAATCTCCGTCTTTGCTGGATTCACCCTCAACCTGCTGACATGCAACCATCCAGTAACGGCCTCAAGGCACTGATGGAAACAATTGGGTACAGAGTCTGGTCGGCCTTCCATCTTCGGCACCAGCTGAGTGTCATCGGTGTACTGATAACACTCAAGCCCAAAACCTCGAACAAGCTGAGCAAGTGGTTGCATATAGATGTTAAACAACAGAGGGGAGATAATGGCCCCCTGAGGAACCCCACAAGATAGAGGGGACCTCTCAGGGACCAGGCCTCCCCCTCTCCGCTGTCCACGGTTGTGAAGAAAGGAGGACAGCCAGTTTAAAGCTGTCCCCCTGACTCCAGCAACAGCAAGGCGGTGGGTCAAAAGATTGTGGTCAACTGTGTCAAATGCTGCTATGAGATCCAATAACACAAGCAGTGCTGACCCGCCCTGGTCAAGCTGGCATTGAAGGTGATCCGTGATGGAGACCAGCACAGTCTCTGTCCCATGCCCTGCACGGAAGCCGGACTGGAAGGGATCTAGTTCGACTGTGTCATCTAGGAATGGCTGCAACTGCTCCGCTGCTGCCCTCTCAATCACCTTGCCCAGGAATGAGAGATTCAAAACTGGGCAGTAACTGGAGGGAACCGAACAATCTAAGTCTGGTTTCTTCAGCAGGGGAGAGACCACCGCCTCTTTTTAAACCCTCTGGAAAAACTCCTTGTTCAAGGGAGCTGTTTATAATCCTCAACAGAGGGTTGCGTAATCCCTCCAAGCAGGACTTTACCAACCAAGAGGGACACGAATCGAGGGAGCAAGTGGTTGGTCTAGCTGCAGCTATGAGCCTATCGACAGCCCCTGCATCCAGCGGGATGAACCGGTCGAGGATGGGCCCAGCAAGTGGCCACGGAGTCTCAAGCTCTCTCACTGTATCAATTGTGGTAGGGAGGTCCCGGCGATGTAGCGAGATCTTGTCTGCAAAATAGCTCTGAAAAACCTCAGCAGAAGGGGCCTGATCACCACTTTTTGGGACGGTAGGAACCGTCGTTAGAGTTCGAATTATTTTGAACAATTTTGCCGGGCGTGAGCTAGCAGATGCTATCAAAGACGCATAATATACTCGCTTTGCCTCGGTGATAGCATGCTCATAGGACTCCCTAAATGCCTCATAAGCTGATCTCAATGCTCCGTCACTGAGTTCTCGCCACACGCCCTCCAGCCGTCTCTTTTCCCGCTTCATCAGTCAAAGTTCCTCGGTGAACCAAGGAGACCGATTTCGGTGGGGTCTGAGAGGGCGTCTAGGGGCGATCTCGTCGAGTGCATTGGATAGCCTGATGTTCCATGTGTCCACCTGCACATCGATCGAGTCGCTGGCAGGCTCCAGATCCCTCAGAGCATTCCGGAACCTACTGGGCATTATGAGGCTCGGCGCCCTTGCAGCGTGGATAGGCATGCTCCAACCGGACTCTCAGGGCGCAGTGATCCAACCATGGAACCTCTATTGTGGAGGCTTGGGTCACTTGAATTCCTACGCTGAAAATCAAATCTAGCGTGTGTCCCGCCCGACGCATGGGCCCAGTACTACAAAGCGAGAGTCCTAGTGTCTCCATGGTAGACACTAGGTCCACAGCCGCTAATGAACAAGAGTCTGCATCAGCGTGGACATTGAAATCCCCCAAGACGATAAGTCTGGGGAACCTCAAGGACCACTCCGACACAGTCTCAAGCAGCTGGGATAGGCTGTCTGCTGGTGCGCTAGGCGCACGGTACACCAGCAGAAAGGCTATGCTCTCACAGGAATCCCACACCAGGCCAACACTTTCAATGCCAGAGATGCTCAGCACAGGAACTGCCCTAAGAGAAAAACTTTCTCGGGCGAGCATAGCCACCCCACCCCCCCGCCTCCCAGTCCGCATCTGGTGAGTGATTGCATAACCTGGAGATGTTATTTCCTGGAGTAGGATCTCATCCCCCTCTTGGATCCAAGTTTCTGTAATACACACTAGGTCAGCTCCCTGATCATTAAGAAAATCCCTGATGGTAGCAGTTTTGTTCCTTATGGACCTAGCATTCACTAACACCAGAGTAGGAGGGGAGGAAACTGGTTGCCTGTCACAGATGTACCTGGGGATAGGCCGCAGGTCAGAGGGGGGCCGAGTCTCCCGCCGACTCAACCTCCCTTTAACTTATTCTTATGATGCCTATGTGATGCCACCCTGAGTCCCCCATGTGGGGAGAAGGGCGGGATAGAAGCATATGAAATAAATACATAATAAATTAATAAATAATCATCCATATAGTGAAACCAGCTTTTCCCAAATGGGTTCCAAACTTACCTAGGTAGCCAGGGTACATGTGCCCTAATCTTAATATACACTCCTCTTTCTACAAGAAGATTGTAATGCTGTTTGCTAACCTTGCAGAGTAGTTGTGAGAGTCAAAATTAGATAATATATATGAAGCACTTAAGTTATTATATATATACTGGTATTAAAGTACTGTATCTATTAAGGTGCTGAACTCTATTCCTCAAATAGATCCAGCACAATGTTTTGTCGAAGGCTTTCATGGCCAGAATCACTGAGTTGCTGTGAGCTTTCCAGGCTGTATGGCCATGTTCCAGAAGCATTCTCTCCTGATGTTTCATCCACATCTATGACTGGCATCTTCAGAGGTTGTGAGGAAACAGCCCAGAAAACTCACAGCAATACAGATTCCACACAGTTGACAGCCCCTTTAAAGTTTGGACCAAAATCTAGAGGGAATTCATTGGTTTCATTTGCTCACAGTGTCAAACAAACCAGTATACTGTGAATAACATAACAATTATGAAGAGCACTGCATATTGGGAACTGGACTAAGAGAGATCCCAGTTCCCTTATTGGACTCAGACATCCACCTTCCACTATTATTGTAGCTTGTTGGAGAAGAAAGCATTAAGTCTGTACTCTCATGTGCTGTAGAGTTACTGTGGCAATTTACTACCGCATTGCATCACAGAGACTATTTTAGGAAGAATAAGGTGACATAGGAAATCTTATTTGGTCTCTAAAAGCTTTGAGCTCTACCTAAATATTAATTGAGTGGCTCCTCATTCAGCACTGCCTAAGGCAGGATATGGTGTAGGTGGACAGTGCATCATCAATTCTTACAATCATGTTTCAAAAGATTTTGCACACATGAATATCCTGGTAGACTGGATGCCCTACAGCAAAGCAATTGATAGCAAAATGGTCCTTATGTCAGAGCTTGGGATATGAGCTGAGTTATATGAACATAACCTCCATAGACAAGGAGAAATAAAAACTGTGCAGAAATTGTGAAAAAACCCGCACTAATAGTTCTCATCATGATTTGTTGGATGGAGATAATTGTTTTCTTGTATCTTAACTCCCTGATACATTATTACATTGGGAGGGATGCTCAATGAATTAGAATTAATCCTTTCTTTAAAGACAAATGTTCTATTGTGTAAAGCCTTCAATGAGCACATCTCAAGGTGCAAGATAAGATTCATCATCAGCCCTTTCTATCCCCCTTTGGAGTGCAATCAGAAAGACTGCAACTTTTGAGCTATTCATTGTTTTTGGATCTCCTGGCCCTTCTATAAATAATGATGTTTTGCATAATTCCCCATTTTTGCTAAACAATAAATGCTAGCGGAACATAATCAGTGAATCGTTTCCCCCTTTCCTTTCTCTTTGTGTTTTCATTCAGTTTTATTTTTGCTGAAATTAGGGCAGGTATTGATTCTCAATTTATTTTTAGAATTTATTTTTGCAAATATAAATGGGAAAAGAGTGCTTGTCCTGTTTAGCAATCAAGCTGGAAAAGGATTTAACAACCCAAAGTATTGATTAGAATTTGCTTGCTTATGTGCCATTGATTGGGAACTGTTTTTAAATCCCTTTCTCTGAAACACTGTTGCCTCTTTGTGTAAAAAGCCCTAGACTTGCATACTAATAATTGTCCAATAATGATTTCATGGCCCTTTTGTACCTCATGCATACCAAAAGAAAAAGAAGGAGAAAAGGAGATGAAAGAAAGAAAGAAAAACACAACAAAATTAGGCCACTTAGTTTAATACCAAGGGCATTTTTAATGGATGCTTTCCTGAAAAAAAATCATATTGTTCTTTGTTAGAGCAAGATACAGCACTTTATCATTGATCTCTCTTCTCCTCCCTCCCTTTCTCAATAGCTAGTATATCCATCCAGGCCTAGCTCTGTGCTACTCAAACTGACACTACACTGGCAGATGTCAATTGCTGCAGCTGTAAATAGTACCTCATAAGCTCCTGCCCATTTATCAAGCCTGTCTTCAAAGTTAGGTTAGAACAAGGAGCACAGAAAGAGTTGTGAAACCCAGTAATTTACACCATGGTAATCTGATGAAATATTGATCAAATAAAAGTGCCAGCTCAGTACTGGTAGTTGTAATAGACCCAAGGCAAACACTGCTGCAGATGTGATCAGAGGCATGCAAGGTCAATTCTGATGTTTGCCCATGTTCTGTTTTTAGATATGGTTTACAGCTCTTCTTGTTTAAATGTATAAGACTGAAGCGTGATGTTTTTCTCTGGCAGATAATTGTGATGATCAGCTGGTGTCTGGCTTGCCTCAATCATCATTCAGCAGTTCATCATTGCTGTCCAGTAGTCACAGCCCAGGGTTTGCAAGGCTTAATCGAAGAGATGGTGAGTACTCTTGTTGTTTTTTAATCTTAATTTCTGGATGTTTTGCCAAAGGCGTTTATGAAGACAAATGAATAGTGTGAATCCTCTAGAATCTTAAATTGTAAGCATGCATTTATCAATATTTTATTCTACTTCATGATTAAATTATGTACCAGTGCAATCCTCAAGGACTCAGTCATTTTTAATCTGGCAGCATACTAGCTTCACAAGCACAGTAAGGGTTTGTTCACCTCTCAGTGCAATGTACTTTGGTAGGTCCATATGATTGAAAATGACCCAAATTTGTATATTTGATGAGAGATGTCTTGATGCACCATTTGGGATTGTGAGGAGGTCAATTACCATGAGATATTCATATCTATACTTCCAGAGTTCCTTGCAAAAAAATCTGTTTGTACAAAAACATGGAGATAGAATTCTAAATGTTCTGCTTAGTTACAGAACTATCTCAGTTGCTTAGTTGAGGAGCATCTCCTGGCCTAGTCCTCACAAGCCTACTCTGCCAGGCATCATCCATGTAGAGAAAAAATATTCCCATCTTGCTGCCAGTAAGGGTATGGACAGATGTCATTTCTATAACCCTGCTGCAGGAAGCATGCTGCAACAAGGATGCACTTCAGGGGTCTTGGTGGATGCAGAGTGAAAACATCATCTACTCACATCCCAATCACTAACAGAAAGGATCCCTTTCTCTCTATTTGTCTAATGCCCAGAAAAGGTAACACAATTGTGACTATGTGGGAGTTCTGAATACAGATTCACTATATATGTATTTGTAAGTTCTTAATTCCAACAACTGTTTGTTTTGCCTAAAATATTGTTTTTACATAACACCAAAATGCAACAAAATTCAACAATCACAAAGCCTTTTCTACTCAACCAAAATGCAACCCATATGTTATGAAAACTTTCAAAGCTCCAATGGCTTCTTCATTAAAATAATACAGGGAGTATATAAGTGATAATGATAGAGTCATGGGCCTAAAATTTGTATTGGATGTTATTTTTGTTGCAATTCAGCTGTTCTGAGGGAGATCACATTGTGGACAACGGGCATTCTTCTTGGCTATGTGAGAATGGGACAAAGGACAGTTAAATTTAAACTCCATTAGCATTTGTAAAATAATGTATCTGAGGATTCTAGCTGTCTCTGTCCACAAGCCCCTTTCTATGGCAGAGAACATTGAAAATCTGGGAAAAAAGTAGGTGATGTATAAGTACAAATTGCCATTACAGTTTAGTCTAAAGGAAAACATTTTATCTTTGTCAGGGATAGAAACCTCAAAGAGTTATGTTCAAATACAGGAAACATATTGGCTTGCTATGTGGACATGCAGCAACATCCAAAATCCTGAGCTTTTTGTTGTTGTTGTTGCATAAAACTGGTGTATATTGCACAAAATACTTAAAAAAATAACTCAAGTGCATTTAAAGCATGATTTTTCACAAAATAAAGAGTTCTACACATAAGCAGAAAAATAAAATGCATAGATATAAGATAGGTGACACCTGGTTTGGGACATAGAATCATAGAATCTTAGCTTTGGAAGAGACCACAAGGGCCGTCCAGACCATATTCTTTTATATTTTCACTTTACTGTGCAATCACATTGGCTTTTCCAGTTGTTTTCCATTATTCTTTTTCCGTTGAATCTATTGCCATTGGATTCTGCCCAGTATTTTCCTGACCTTAATAAAATCAGTTTTCCTCTTAAATCCAAGTTTTGTATTTAACTATATTCTTCTTTGTCCAATCCCACAATTTGAGTTTTATGTGGTCACTAAAGTATCAACTGCTTTGATTTCACTTATTGATTCCAGCTTATTGGTTAGCATCAAGTTCAAGACTGCTGATCCTCTTGTTCCTTTCTCTTCCTTTTTAAATAGAAAATTACCTGCAAGGCACATCAGGAATTTGTTGGAGAGTCAATGCTGAGCAGGGCTCCCAACAGGTATTAGGATAATTGATGTCCCCTATAACTACTAGTTCTTGCTTCTGAAAGATTTCTAAGATTTGTTTAAGAATCAAATATCACTTTACCTTATTTTTGTAGCCTATAGTTAATTCCTACAACAGTGTTGTTTTTACTGTTTTTCTTCATTTATATTTTACCCAAATGTTCTCCACTGGTCCACTTTGTTCATTTGTGTTGATTTCTTCACAAGTGAATTTATATTTGACATTTAATGCTTCCCCCTCCTTTTCTTCCTTGTCTAATCTTTTTGAACAAATTACATCATTTATAACCATGTGCTCCACCACTACCCTCACTTCATTAATTACTACAGCTTAAATAATTATGAAATGGTTTAATTAGCCCAATTACTACCTGGTTGGATTAATAGTTCTGTAATTATTGTCAACTAGTCAAACATATAACTGTAATAATTCCTTTCACAAAATAGTGTATCATATGGTATCTGGAATTTTATAAGACATACAAACAGCAACACTAGCTTGACTTATTGTTGCACGAGAATAATAAATCCAGTATAAAAGTTTAAAATGCCCAGGAAATATCTGATGCTGTGATCTGTGTGCACTGACCTTGGAAGATGCTTGTAAATAATCATGTTGTAAAAATAGCACAAAATATAAGGTTTCTTTTGAGATTTTTTAGAGTGAGTCTTCATCAAAAATGAATTTAAGCAGATTTAGTTCTTCAGCTGCATTGTGTATGATGCCTTGTTTGATTCACTGTAAGAAAATTCACCTAGAAATAAAAATAATACCATTCAATGACATTGTTTTGTCAAGTTAACAACACTCAGGCGTTGATCCCATAAGTAGTAGGGGCATGCAATTCCTGTAAACCCTGTGCCATTTTTAGTGTTGGATTTTTGGCTGCCCCCTTTCCATTTTTTTCAGGAACTGCCTGAATTCAGGAGGGGAAAACACAGTTTATCGATCTGTCATCTGGAAGTTGCCTTTTCACTCTGAGAAGATCCGGACCATTGGTAGCAATGGGGGAAATTCTGAGGCTCCCCCTTCTGTCATATTTTTTTTTGCTATCAGGACAAAAATGCCCCCATGTGGAGGACATATTTACCACTGCAAGACCACGAAGTTTCAGAATGTTTGGATCATCTACTGATTTTAAAGAAATTCTTAAATTTTCTAGAAATTAAATCTCCTTTACAACCCCCCCCCCCAAAAAAAAGATATTCCTTGGAATTTCTCCACAGCAACAATATAGGAGCAGTGGCAAGGACCCATTTATGCCAACTTTCATAAAGATCCACACATTCCACAATTTATAGAAATTTTAAAAAGTTTTTTACTAATAAAACAAATACTTTTCCTAAGCTTTTGCATTTCTACATGGTTGTCAAACCAGGTAAACTGGGGCAGGAGTACACAAAAGCCAGAAAGGGGGGGGGGGAATGGGAGGGAAATGGGAAGGGAATAAATGAGTCAGTCAATGAGGTGAACAAGAAGAAGAAAGAACTTTAAAATAAATAAATAAATAAATATTTGGGGGGGAGGTACAGGAGAAAGTACAGCGGCAAGAAAATAGTGCTAGGGAGGGATTGAATTCTCCCTGTGAGGACTCAAGGGAGGCAAGCTATGCCCTCCCTTCACTAAACTATCACCACCCCAAAAAAGGTAAAAAAATTTAAACAAACACTCCCCAAAAATGTTCTTTTTCAGCCCCCCCAACCACATGCCCACCTTCACTTCCCAAGCAGAATACTAAAAAGAAGGACTGAAAGATATTAAACTAATAATATTTTTAATAAATTTGCCAAAGGAAACAATTAGAATTGAGTCCAAAAGCAATTCTAAGCAGTGATGGCACTGAGATAAAACATGGTTCTAACTAGCATATGATCTTCCTCTCTCAGAAGCCAGGATATTATAGGAAAATGGATGAACTCGCCCTGGTATATATAGATCAGCTTGGTGAAAAGACACGTGATCTGCTTTCTTGCTCTGATGTGTTCAGGCAAGACTGGGGGGGGGGGAATCCCCTGCACCCGGGGCTGCTGCCATGGTGCTCCCAAAAATAACTGAAAGCAGCCAATATTGGCAGCCACATGGTCAATTTTGGCCGAGTCAATCAAAGGCCTCTCACCCATTCCAGTGATTCATTCCACCAAACTGCTGGATGTCCTGGATCTCTGGGTTGTTGTAAGTATTTTGGGCTTTATGGCCATGGTCTAGAAGCATTCTCTCCTGATGTTTTGCCTGCATCTGTGGGAGGCATTTTCAGAGGTTGTGAGGTCTGTTGGAAACTAGGAAAATTGGGTTCCAATAAACCTCATAACCTCTGAGGATGCCTACCACAGATGCAGGTGAAACGTCAGGATATAATGTTTCTAGAACATGACCATACAGCCTGAAAAACCTACAACCACCCAGTGATTCTGGACAGGAAAGCCTTTGACAATACATTTTCCAGACCTTGTTTTGAAAAATGACACCATGCACACCCCTAATAAGCAGCAATAGTTGTTAACTTTCCATTTCAGAGTCAAAGTCACAGTCTTAACTTTTAATATGTATGGAATCAATGTTAGATGTAATAGCAGCTACATAGCATACTAATGTCTTCAGACAATGACCTTGGAGCACTCAGAATTAAAAACAGTCACTGCTATTTTCCCTAATTACTAGAATGATTAAGTCTTCAGATGAATCTTCACTCTAAATATTTTTGCAAAGCATAATTACATAGTACACCCCTTGAACGAATTTTATTGCTAAGTTCTGCGTTCAGGTTCTAAATTATTAAATATTTAAGTATGAATCAACTGATTAAACATGGATCTTGGTTAAAGTTGACTGGAAGAAATAACTTTTCCCAGTTTTGTGTAGCAATGAGTTATTGGGAATCTATCTCCTTTAATGGATGCTCCATCTCACAGTCTGATGGGCTTCAACATGTGTACTTAAAAGTGGATGGCTGTGACAGGATACAGATTCTGTTAGAATTATAGAATGACAAAGTTTAAAGAGACCATATGGGCCATCCAGTCCAACCACTTGCCATGCAGGA